GAATATAATTTAAATAAATTTGATGCTTGGGATTATGATAGGTTTGCGAATAGATGAACTTTTGAAATATTATTATAGAAACACATAATAATTATCACTTGTGTACAGTATGTATTTTTCTTGAGAATTGTAAATTTCACACGTTCTGTTTTTTTTTTGTACTCAAGCTTAATATTGGTCAATCGCATTAATTGTTTCAGTAGAAGAGAAAGCAGGTCAAAGTTCAAAATTTTACGAGCTGTAGAATATGTTTGGCAATATTAATACACAATTGTATAAAAAATATCTTGTTGATATTCCATTGTTTTAATTTTTATCTACTGAATAACGAGTAGCGAGTAACAGATTTTTATTTGTTTATAATCGTCTGTGTATATAAAAAATATTTTAAAAAGCGATTTTTAAAACGTGTTCTCAATTTCCTTTTTTAACAAAAATATGTTAGTGACATATATGATTCTAATTCATGGAGAGAAGCTCGATAAAATGAAAGCAAAGAAATCGCAGTCGAGAAAAAAAAATTCCTTCGAGCCGGATTCGAACCAGCGACCTATGGATGTCTCTTTACCTCTACTCACACTACAGTCCACCGCTCTACCAACTGAGCTATCGAAGGCTATGTGAATGATTTGTAATTTAACCTTCAGAAAGAAGCGTTACGTTCTGAACATAAAAAACTGAATTTAAAAAATAAGGAATTAAACATAAAAAAGTTAGAATTAGCTACAAAATGGAGAAGCATTTTTTCCCTTTTTCTCTTGGGGAAAATAACAAATTAAATATGAATACGTGACTTCTCTTTATTTGGAAGCTAATTCCTTATTCCTAATTCCCGATATGTTGAATCTTTATCCCTTATTTAGTCAATTGTTCCTCGATCTTTTCTTGCTACAAGGAATCTTGATGTATACCCGTTATATACGAAAGGTGATCTAATATGAAAGTGACACCATCGCTACGACATGCACATATTTGTATACGATCGAACGCCAAGTTCTTACAGAGTGATCACACCACTGCGTTGAAGTAACATGTGCAACCTTCACGAAACGTGTATTTATTTTCTTACACACACGCAAGCATCGTCGATCATGCATGCGCTGACGTAAACGGCTATAATATATTATACGACGCGCCTCGCGATAAAAAAAATCTCCCCCCAAGCGAGGATCCCGTCATATCGGAGTCGACGGAATTGTGAAACGCGATCGATCTCGCGGCGACTCGAAGCTGACCGTCCACTTCATGACATCACGTCAACTGCGTTCAGCAACTTCATCCGAGTGCATCTGCGTATCATTTTATCCTTGTCGTTCACAAATACGTTAAACGAGAGGTCTATCTGTTTTCTGTAGCTGAACTGTAAAAAAACAGATCTTTTGTAGTGTACACTTTTGGAATTTAAAGTGCTATAGATAGATACACATTTGTGCTATTCGCTGAAAACGAGAAAATTCTAGTCTAGTACGAGAATAAAAAACAGGTCTAAGGTTAAAATGATACACATGTGCACCTATATTCTATTCAACACGAGATTTTTGCCTTCACGTAGAGATCCTCAAATAAGAGATTGGACCGTTTAGACAACTTCTGATTGGTTCTCCATATTGTTCAGGACCTGCTTAAGATAGAATGAGGTGCATGGATATTTCATTCTATCTTATGCATAATCTATCTCATTCTACTTTAAACAGATCCCGAAAAATATGATGGACCAAATGTATGACGTTCATTCTCGTATTTGAGAATTTCTAACTTTGTGCACACATATAGAAGGCATAGCGCGCAAAGTGGGATAAAAATCAAAATTATTTTACTCGTTGAATTTTCTAAGTCTAGGTCTGAGTGTGTTGTATTTACGTATACAATACAAGATACGTCTTCATTTTAAACCTGTCGTTGAACAGTATGTAAGTTTCTGCACACAGAAAAATATCAATCTATTACTAAGAAAAGTAATTACTCAATTTACTTTATTATCTTTAATAAAAAATATTTTCTTTTGATAATAACTTTAAAATATATTTATTACAAGTTATAGAAAAACTCATAATGTACAACAAACAAGAATTAATTTTTTTAAGAATCTTTAATAAAATATACTTTCTTGGTAATAACTTTAAGATATATTTATTACAAGTTAGAAAAACTCATAATGTACTCCAAACAAGAATTAATTTTTTCAAGAACATTATAAAATTGATGAAAGAAATGACTTTATATAATAAGCAAATTGAATTTATTTCATTTACGAATCTTAGTTGAAGTATTAACTCTTTGCAGTGGGCGTACTTTTCACTAGAGATAAAATTTTATCGCATTATGAAGGCGTATCATATTATGTATCCTAGAAGAAATATATGATTCTCCATCCAATGACTACTTGTGTTGATAGTGCAATAAAGACTTTGAAATTCGTCCAGATCAAACATAGTCATTGTCTCACTCGCCACTCAAGTTGCTGCATCAAACCAAGTAGAGACTGAGGGTCGCCATTCGAATGCAAAGAGTTAAATTCATTCACAATATATTTTGAATAGACTTAATGCTTGTGATGAATTTATAGATAGTTTTACGGAACTTATGAACTTTTGAAATACTTGAAACAATTAATAATTATTTACGTACAGCATATATTTTTTTGTATGTGAACGTGCCCAAGTTGTAAAATTCACGAACACGTTTCCAGCTGATGCAAGCAGGTAAAGTTAGGTAACAAATACGAGACCGCACGCTCGACCATTAAAGGAGTGAACGCTACAATACGTGACAGTCCTCGCCGCGAGCCGCTCCAGGAGTCCGCCACAACGGCGAGAAGAACAATCGGTATCGCGACGACCGCGACGTGCGATAAAGCCATAAATCTAGAGAAAGCAACGACTCACCGAAGACGCCCAGCGTCGTCCGCCTTCCCGGGCTGCTCGTCACCGCACACGCCGGACACCCTCCGAGCTGAGTCGTCACGTTGCGTCACCGTCGTCAAACGCCTTCCACCTCGCTGCACCCTTACGTCCACACATATCACGCGTCACGCCGAAACCCTTGGACGCGCACAACAAAGTCCGCGACCATCCACGACACACACGCAAGATGGTGGACAAGTGGAGGTCACGTGGCCCGCCGGCGTAACTGTCATGGCGAGAAAGATACTCGCCGCGACATCTGTCGGCTACCGTTCGAGTTAGTCATATTCGTAACTTGGCACGAAGTTCACTTGAGAAACTTTCGCACATTCGCGTCACCGAACTGTATTAATTATGATAAATTACATCCGTAGGCGAATGTTTTCGTTATAGATGAAATTGATGTACTTCTAAGATTTCAATATTGAAAGAGTTTTTAGGTCAAATAGTTTTAATGCTTGTGAAGTACAATTCTCAAGATCGGAAACACTTTCATATTATTGAAAATGTGTAATCCTGATTAAAATCACATGAATATCGAGCGAATCTTGCTATTTTTCAAAGAAAATAACGGCCGAGAGAATTTCAATTCCGAATCGCGACAGAGATCTTTTCGAATTTGTTACGATCGCACGGAGCTCACTTGAGAAACTGTCGCACATTCACGCCACTGAACTGTATTATTCATGATAAACTGCATCCGGGATTAAATTTTCTATTATAAACGAAATAAATACGCGTTTGGAGTCACGATATCATAGGAATTTTCATCAAACAAGCTTAAAGTTTAAAAAATCCGTTACTAATTTCGATTCGATTCCGAGTCACGCAGAAAGGCGGTTTATCGGTACGGAAATCGCGATATAAATACACAATAATGATCGTATGCAACGTTCAATATGACGCACAACAATTCCACGCACACAGGATTCACTTTAAATCGGTAACAATCGCGAAAAATACGGAGCGACTCGAATGCGCTGTCACGGTCCGCCATGACGCATAATGAACTACTTGACTCGCTTGCCTCGAAAATTTAAAATTATCGAAGTGGCGCCAACAGCGGACCAATCACAGCGCGACAATTTGATGTTTTCACAACAGCTGTACACTTCGTGTATGTACTTATGCCCATTTCCACTAATATTAGGTCATCTAAAAAGTATCCGCGGTTTTTTGTCACTAGATGTGTGTTGATGGTCATATATCTAGTAACAAAGTACCGCGGATACTTTTTAGATGACCCAATATAAGGTCTCTGTGGCTGAACTAGTGTACACTTTTAGAACTTAAAGTGAGATAGATGTACGTTTCCCAAACAACAAGTCATTATGATATTAAAATGATGTCAAAATGACTTCAAAATGATCATTAAAAGTCATTTTTCAATCATTTTCGATTCATTTTAATGTCATTTTGACGTTATTATGGCTTGCTATTCTGCTTGGGTTCATATTTGTTTAAAGCGAGAAAGAGAGTTCTAGAACAATCTAGTGCAGGAGTAGAAAACAGATTAATAGATTAATTTTAATCTCAGTTCAACTTACTCTTGGTTTTTTTCTACTTTTAAAAATTAAAAAAAGATAAAGAATAAGTTGAACACATTGATGGAAACGAGTTAAATTTTATGCATGATGTATCATTTTATCTTTGTTGTTCATTAATGTAAAATAAGAATAAAATAAACACAATTTGAGATAATAGAAATATCTGTAAAGAAGAAAAAACAAAGATGTGTTGTAAAAAATTGTTACAAAAAGTATAGCTAAATGTAATATATATATATATATATATCTATTCTACCAATGTACAGTATAACTTTAATCCTTACTTTCTTTTTCCAGTTCTAAAAATTAGAAAAAGATAAAAGAGTGAGTAAAATTGAGATTACAGTTAATGAAAGGGACATTATAATAAGGCAAAATTAAGAACGACCAAGGAATACGAATCTAATACTTTTAAATATATTAGTGTTTATTGCCAAATATTCTCAAATTTTGAAAAAACTTAATATTATGATATGAATAATGAATGTCACACGCACAGAATTTTGCATTTTTATGATTTGTTTTATTAATATTGTAATTAGAATTCGGATTAAAGTTTTGCAATTTAATCCTGCAATTTCTCTTGTTTTTGCGCGTTTTTCTTCAATTGTTGGTTCTCGCTTTAGCCACGTATCTTGAGAGGTCGTTAGTGCACGAGATTGCCTTTGAGATTTCTTTCTGAATCTGAGAAGTAAATAATCTCGTTAAAATCGACGGTTTCACATCAAATCAAGTCAAGTTGCATCAAGTGGCCAAATCCAGATTCCTCAGGGACAGCAGGTGACAATCTACCACACAATACCTTGTGCGTGACGAAATACACATCCTATGATGATCTCGTCGTGCCGTTGTGCTACGAGCACGTCCTCTTTGAAATTCATCTACGTCGAGTCAACTCTAACCGGTACAGAGAAACGCCTACGACGTTTTCGCGATCACAAACACTCGGATCCTTCAGCACTAATTGTCCCTCGACAGAACGTGACTTAACCTTTACGCTCGCTTATCTCTTTTTACTGTTTTCGATAACGCTGTGACGTTTCGCGACACACCAGGCTCGAAATACGAATCCACTAATTGTGAAAGATGTGACGCGCAGAATGGAGCAAGATATGAAAGAAACGAATCTACTAGAAGAGCAAACGAAGGTAGAAGAATGGTTGACAGAGAAGAATATAGATGAACAGCAGGAAATTCAACACTCGATTATATTCTACAAGCATGGTGCTAACAACATGGGTAAACTCAAATTCGTTCATATATTCGTTCATCTCCAAATTCTGATCAGATACTTATCATCACTTTCTCTTGTTAATATTTAGCAGAAATGTCAGTAGAAAATTCAAACAAATTACAAATGAATGCAGCATGGTTAAAAGGCATCGCTACTGGGGATACAAATCTTACATCCCGATTCATCCTGCATTCTGAAGCTGGACTTGTAGAAACTTATCTGTTAATAAGTACATTTTTACTGTATTTTTTCCAGATAAGTCTTGCAACAAAAGATTATATAAAATTATCAATAACTTAAAGTTATTACAGAGATTGATACTTAAGGCTATACTTCGATCAAACACTAATTTATTTAACTCAACAGGCAGAACTGCTTAAGACAAAATCTGTAACACGTAATTAATTCTTAATCTTTTTTCATTACTTTAATCTATTAATAGAATAGTGCTGATGCTGATTGTGTTAATTGGAGTTTGATCGTTCTTTATTCCAGTTCCTATTAGATTTTATTGCAATTGCATGTTATTACAGGAGATACACTGAATTTACAAACAATAGATGAGTCACAAGAGCCACTGTCAGTTAGTAATAAGAATTTCGCAGAAAGTTCAGTTAAATTTAAACAGAGAAAGAATACAAAACCATTGAAGGAACATAAAGAATCTATGAAACGTATAAAGCAACCTGAAAACTGGAAAGTAAACTTAAAAAAAAATGCTAGATTAAAGGGGGAAGAATACATTGGGGTTGGAGGTAAATACACAGATGATAAACAGATTAATAGACAAAAAATTAACAGTTTGCGTTTTTCAGGCAAAATAGTACCAGCTAAAAAGATGGGACATCCTTGTGTTTGTCGCATGCATTGTGCGGAAAAGATAGACGAGAAGGAACGCGAGGAATTGCACAAGTCTTTTTGGAGAATCTATACATGGCAACAGCGAAAGCAATATATCGCCAAATCTGTCAAAGAATCTCCGAAACAACGTACTCGATTGCGCAACAATGTTCAGCCAGAGCGTTCTTCGAGATGCCGGCAGGTGACCTTCACGTACTCTCTCTTATTGAAGGGTGAATTCATCACTGTGTGCAAATCAATGTTTCTTAGTACGTTTGCAATATCTGAAAAGTTCGTGCGACATGTGATGGAGAAGAAACGAATGTCACCAAGTGGTATCATCGAACCGGATCAAAGAGGTAGGCACATGCCAAAAACTAAAAAAAGTGAGGACATAAAAGAGCGAGTGCGCGAACATATTAGATCCTTTCCATCCGAGAAATCGACAGATCCTAAGGATCATAGTGATAGATGTTATTTGGACGCAAATCTAAACATAGCCACAATGCATAAATCCTATGTGTCAAAGTGCAAACAGACAGGTGTACCTGAAAGTGATATAGTGAAGGAAAGTTATTACAGAGAAATGTTTAAGACAGAATTCAATCTTGGTTTTAAACGCGTGCAAGCAAAAGAAATTGATGTCAAACGTTAGTTGAGATAAAGAATGCAAGAAATTTGTTGAATAGAATTAGAAAAATTTCTCATTGGTGCCTAATGATTACAAACATTAAAATTAAAAAATATTAAATGACAATAACAAAAAAGCTTTTTAACATTTATTTATTTAATCCTTTATGTAATATATACAATCAAATATTAACAAATATATCAAAATTAATTAAATACACAATTAAAAATTAGCTTGAATAGAATAAAGATATATATATATATATATATATATATATATATATTCGTACAAATTTTAATAGGAATATATAAAATTTCCTTTTATATATTTTCTCAATAATTTTTAAGTGTCAATCTTGTTTAGACATTTTAATCACTTATAATATTTTTACAATTATTAAAAAAAATTATACTTTTATAAATTGTTTTTGTAAGAATATAATATAATTTTTATTCTATATTAATTACAGTCTAAATGGTTTATATTATATTATAAAAATAGTCAACTTGTACAAATGTGTTGAAAGTCATTGACTACGAACATATGATGAACATATGATACTTCGAAACATTTGTAGTGCCAAATGGAACCTATTATTATCATTTAGTATTAATAGATTCAGATCTATATTTTTGATTTCTCAAAACTAAAAGATTATTTCCAAATGATTAAAAGAAAATCTATTAATATTTTAAATAATTATTTATAAAATAGTTCCTACCGACATTACATCAGATATACCAATAGCAACATTTTATTATTATTGAATTGCAACTATAGTTTAATAACTATAGTTTAATAACAATAAAAATATTATATATCCCTTAAAATTTCAAATTATCATAAGGTCATTATTTGTGCTAATTAGCAAATTACTACAGTAATGTGATTATTCTTTAAATATATATCATTAACAAAATTGATAAATACAATATAAAATAGAGATATCTCAAGTGTCATCTTAAAATTCAGTTAAAAGTTCTGATATCTTAAATAATTATTATATCTCATTTGATACCTTTCTTTAAAATGTCAATACAACAATAATTGTCATTACTAATGCTTGTTGATCTGTGCACTAACTTCTTTACATCGAAGTGTTGCTGCCTCTATAGCGCTGATTAATGCCGATCTTAAGCCATGCTTTTCTAATTGATGAATACCAGTTATGGTCGAGCCTGCAAATGAAAATATATATTGTAGCTGAAAAAAAATAGAAATTTTAATTAATATAAGTAAATTCTAACCTGCTGGTGAAGTTACGTCATCCTTGAGCTGTCCTGGATGGAGGTTTGTCTCGCGGACCATTGTACCAGCGCCTAAGACAGTTTGTGCAGCGAACTTATACGCAAAAGGTCTAGTAAGTCCCATTTTAACTCCACCATCGGCCATTGCTTCGATTATCATATATATCTAAGAAATTTTCATTTCTCATTATAATAATAATCATTTTTTTAAAGGAAACAGACTTGATAATTTAAAAATAAAAGAAAAATTGATAACGCGAATTACGATTCAAAAAACCTATAAAAATATAAAACTCACTTTTCGTTTCTCTATTTTTTAAAATTTAATTCCAATAATTATTTATAAAAACATTACAGCAGATTGTTCACAACTAACTAAAAAAATTGAACTAAAAAATTGAAACTCGAATGTTTGCTCACATAGGCAGGACCGGAAGAGGCCAAGGCAGTTATAGGATCAATGAAATTTTCCGAGACTTCTTCGCAGATGCCTACGGCGGAAAATAGTTTTTCTGCGATCTCCGCATCTTTGTCACTCGCGTATTTTCCACGCGCAAACACCGTAGCACCGCAGCCAACTAATGCAGGTGTGTTTGGCATTACTCTTATCACGGGCGTTTCTTTTGGCAGTGCCTGAAAATATTCTCTCTGTAGTAGACAACATTGTGCTTTTTTTTTTTTCTTTAAAAATCTTTTTTTATCATAAGCCCTAATGTATTAACAAATTTTTGTTTGATGATAGAGGAGCCGATGATAGTGTTACCTTTTCTAGTGACATCAGAGAGATGCCCATGGCGATGGAAAGAACTAACTTCTTGTTGTCATGTACCCTAAATTCTGATATTACTTTTGGTACAACTTGCGGTTTTACCGAAAGGATTAGCACGTCACCGAAATCGATGATAGGTATATTCGTAAAAACAGTATTTGATCCCATTTTCTGAAAAACATTGAATTAGATGTACAGATTTTGACACACTTAATAACACATTTGACAGTACAGTATTTACTATCTAGAAATTGAAATTTTCTTTATCAAAATTTGATTAAATATTTTTTTCGTATAATTTTATCGTCATATTATGTACTGTTTTATCTTGATAAATCGTCTTGAGATATTAATGACATCATCTTCAAAATATGTAAGATTACTACTATCTGTTTATATTAATATTTTTTCGTACATCTGATATGTTTGATATACAATATTATCTAAGTTTAAATCACTGTGTAAAATATAAACTGTTTTCACTTATGTAAAATCACTGTGATTTTTCTGAGTTAAACACAAAGTAACGCATGTATCATAATATTACATGTACCAGGGCTTGGTTGTATTTAAAATAAAGTTATTTAAAATATATATTTTAAATAAAAAAAAATTTATTTAGTGTTTATTATTTTAAATAACCTTTCTAACCATTTCTTATTTAATATCTTAAATAAGTTTTCGGAATCTATTTTATATACATTTTTTCAATAAATTATCAATTATTTTAACTAGTCCTGCTTTTCTACTAATATTAGCAAACATGCTTTACATATTGAAAGGTTTGAAAGATTATTAGATCTTGTGTGCTTTCCGATAAGCGACACAGTGCGACACAGTGATCATATCATCTTTGCTTATTAAAAAATTTGGCAAACAGCAAGAATGTAATGACCCATTGTGTCACATCGTGTCATTTGTGTCGCTTGTTGGGAGGCACATCTTCTCACTTCTTCTCAGTTCGATCACAGTTTTCACAAGTGAAAATATGGCTAAATAGAGAGGAACATTTCATATTCTTGTATCATGATATATACAATTAGAACTTGTAGATACAATTCTAGAATTCGCGCACAGGTGATAATAATATAAATACAAAATGTTTGAAAATGTCCCGATCAATAATCACCGACAAACATTTAATACATGCGCGATTAGAATATATAGAAATTATAAAACTATATCTTATCAATGATAATTTATTAATCCTGTTAGTCTTGGGTCTATTTAATCCAAAATAATTTTTATTTCTCTGTTATATCATTTCTATACGATGAATGAACGTTCTGGCATTTCATGATTTTTATTTTATAGTTTAAACACATCAATTTGATTAAAAAAGTTAACAATCTTTTCTTTTTTCTAAAATGTTTAATTGTTACATGTACAATGTTTATTATTTATTTTTGAATTTTCAGTTAATTTAAACTTGGTGTTTTTTTAGTATTTCTTCGCAAATGTAATGTATAAAATATTTATCTTTGATCATAACATAAATATTTTGATCAAGTTAATCTATCAGTTTCAAAGTCTCACAAAATATTGTGATATAAAACGCGAATTTCTTTCTCTCTTTAAATATTTTTTAAATATTTTTAATATTAGATATCGCAAAGAATTTACATCTCCGATTATTATGAATTCATTACGATGAGAAATCGCATCTTGACACCAGCGGTATTCTTATCAAACAAAATATTATGAACAAAAAGAAGCATCTTTCTATTATCGGAATCTTCTTTATGTGATAAATTGTTTATTATCTCACCTTAAAAGTTTCAATACTGCCGGTATCATTTGGAAGACAGCTAGCCAATATCATTTCGCCTTTGCTTAAACCTGTAAAACGAGAAAAGTCTCGTATAAGAAAATGCGAAAAACATTCCGAGATATTTTCAGTAAACTTTTGTTGATCAAATCAATATAACTGATAATCTGTATATCGTTAAAACGTATAACATTAAATGAAAAAAATTATTAGGTGTTGGAATTAATTCGTAGCGTTTTTTAATGAAAGAATGTTATTTATTTCACATGAGCATTAAAAAATACATTAATGAAAGTACTTCCCATCACTTAAAAAACGCTACGAATTAATTCCAACACCTAATATATGTCGTTAAAAAATATATAGGAAAAACTATTTTACATTACATTAAATGAAAAAATTATATGTCATTAAAAAATATATAGGAAAAACTATTTACCCGCCCGTATAAAACCTTTAGCAAGCGCCTGGGCCATTTTTCCCCCGCCGAGGAAACCGATTTTCAGCATATTGATATCGATGTTTAGCGGTATCTTCTGTTTCTTCACCTCTCCGTCTGCGAGATACTGATCACTCACTACAAAATACAGACGAAAAAAAGATATCACAATTTTGTTCCACAAGGCGCATTCGCAGCGAAAGAACAAAAGGAAGAATGAATCACATAGATTATCTTACAATACGCGAAAATCGAATATTATTCGTTTCGACGTACGAACAACAGATTATTTAATAAGTCACTCTACTTCTCTGTATTTCGCAGCAATCTAGTTGTAACGGTCATATTTCTTGTTTTGGAATGGTGATATGAACGCGATAAGATGGCAACTAAAGCTTATAATTTTTTATGTTGCCGAGGTCAATCTCTGTTCAAATACTATTCGCATCTCATGCTCTCGTATCTCCTTCTATTTCTATCGTGCATTATTCCTCGTCACTTTCTGCCGCGCAGATGGTCTGTATTTTTATGTAATCTTACGGGAGATAACAGCAATTTTATATATATTATGTGCACGTCGTCTAACTTGGAAAACGCGAAATTAACCGCAATCGACCGCATCGACCACCAAACTTGTTTTGTCATTCGGATTGATTTGTGGTGTAGCTCAAATGTATATTTTCTATTTATTGTAATGATAAAGAAACATTACGTCAATCTCTTTATATCTCATAAACATTTATGGACGTTCTGATTAAATAAATATTATTGTTGTTATTACTATAGTTACTTTCAATAATAATGTAGTTAAAATAGGTATATTATAATGACATTATACAACATTTATAAGTGTTATAGTTTCGTTACTCTTTTCATTTTATATAAAATATACTTAATGAATATTTTTATTATATTTTATTAGAATTTAACATTTTTTTATATATATTTCACATATGTACATCGTAATTTCCTACAATTTCCACTGGCTTATTTCTAAAACTTTTAATTGAATTAATTGCTCTCGTATTCCATCATTTTTTCCATTTTTAATTAATTAAAAGTCAAATCGATACAAATTTAAGAGATAGATGAATTTGTCTATATATTTTTTAATATATATGAGATTAGTGATAAAATAAAATTATGATATGTATATAGCATTTATCATATTATTTTCAATGAAATATTCCTCGACGTAAGAAAATTTAAAATATTGATAAATATTCTTTAAGTAAGCGATATCTATATTTTAATTATATTAAATAAAAAATTAAATGTAATTTTACTTTAATTTCATTTAATGTAAATTTAGTTACATTAAGTGACAGGAAGAAAGATAATAACAATTAATAAATTAATTTCACATGATATTTAATAACAATGTACAATAAAACAGCTTAAACTAAAATAGTTGGAAATAATAGAAATATTATTTTTTCGATTCTACACTGTGAATCATTTTTACAATATATGGTTACCTAAAAATTAAAGGTTACCATGCATTGTGAAAATGCATAGGCCATAGGATGACACACTTGAACATGATATACCCAACCCAATTCTATTGCTTATAATTTTTATAAAAGTGAACATATGAAGAATTTTTTTCAATCAAAAAGGCCAAACATTAAGGAACTTGATGATATCAAATAAATGCATGTACCTTTATTAATAAAAGTTATTAAATAATAAAAAAAACAATGAAAAAGCACTGGAGAAAGAAAACTGAGTACATGTATATACATGCCATACTCAAAAGCAGTATCGAAAAGTTGAAGAGTTTAATTATAAAAACGGTTTTATAAAAACAAGATAATCATATTTATAAAAAACATTACTCACCATATTTACGTATGTTTAAACTCTGCCGAACACGATGACTTAATTTCATAAAACCCATTGTCCTCAGATTGACGATCATCTTCATAATTGTTCAGCAATTAATGTAACAAATCAACAGAGTTCGCTCAATTAAAAATTCCAAGAATTTTCGTTTTATATTTATTAATCGTTTTCTTCTTAGGATCATACAGAATCTGGAAAGAAAAATTTAATAAAGATATATTAACAATAATGAATATAATTAAATGTGTTAACAATAAAGCATCAATTATGATAAAATTTATTTCAATGCAAATTCAGTTATTGATATGCAATGATTCTCGCTGTATTGATAATGCAAATATAAATGAAATATTTATTATATGTAAATATAGTATATGTAAATGATAATGAGTAGATATTATAATTGTAAAATGAAATATTATAATAAGTATCTATTATGTTCCTTATTAATTGATGCTATAATATAAGATACATCACATTTGTATCATAGATTTTGATTTTCAATACAATAAAATTCATTGAGTATCTCTCAAAAATTAATTAGAAATTTAATTCAGTTTTACATTATGTATTCGACATGTTCTCGATTCCACCTAATTAACAGCCAAAAAAATACATGCCGATAATGCTTTTGAAGAATAACAATACGACAAGAATTAAATATTTATATTATTAAGTTTTTTTTACGTATCCATTACAATACTGACAATGGTAATAATGACAAAGTGATAGATGAGGTACCGATGAGGATTAACATTCAGATATTATTTATCCGCTTGTAATCTAGTATTCTGCAGTGTGTGCAATAGCCTCTGTTCTTTCATTACTATATACATCCAATTTCGATCGTTCTTATATATATGTTTAAGGTATTGGCCTAATTTCTGTGATGGAAAACTGTTATCCAAGTATCTAATCGGAATCCAAATGAGCAATGATTCCTCCCCACTTTGGTCGCTTAATTATATCTCTTTTTAAGTAAATCATCTAAAAACGAAGAATAAGTAATGGATCTATAGATAGAGATTTGAGAAAAACTAAACTCTATACACATTAAGATATACACATAAGATTCCTGATTAAGATTCCTGAGATTCCAGCGTATCAAGATTTTTTGGCATTTCTGAACTTTTTTTTGAATCTATATATCTCGGAGCTCCTTACTTCTATCAACTTTTATAAATTATGGGCCTGTTCTTTGACCGTTCTCCATCGATTGAAAATAAGTATTATTTAATTAAAATATGTCCATTTTTGCTAAAGTTATAATAAAGATATGGTCCCCAGTATTCCAATGTATACTTTATGTAACGCGAAAAGAATGTATATATATATATATATATATATATAGAGCTTAAATCAGAATACATTTTCCTAACATTATTAATACACCTATAATTTTCTAATATACACCAACTAAAAAAAAAAATATATATATATATATATAATATTTATGTTATAATTTCGCACTGAATGTAGGTGCTTTCCATTTATATTTGTTTCTATCAATGCAGTTAGATTAATTTCTCCATTCAACTTTAATTAAAATTAAACTATATTGATAGAAACGAGCATTAATAACACAATTGTTTTACGGAAGCCTTTTATTTAGTGACACAAGTTGATACAAGCATCATTTTATTTTTCTTGAGATTCAGTGGAGTAACAAAGGCTGTGGTCAAAGTCTCGCTAAAATGCTTTGAAGCGTTTGATGGATTAATTAGAAGAAAGAATTTTACAAATTGACCAATTAAAAAACGCTTCAAAGCGTTTGCAACATTGCGTTGATCATACTCAAAGATAACGACTTGCGTCATTAAGGCTCAGTTCCACAACTCACTGTTAATTCTTAACTGAGATTGAACTTATGCCTCATATCTTTCCAATTTTAGAATTGTAAAGATATTAAAAATAAATTGAATCTGGGCTTAAATGGATAGCACCCAATCTTTCTTGGCATCCATAGAATAACAAGGAGAGAATTATATTTGCGTCAACTTGTGTCACTAAGGATGCATTCGGAGAGACGCTATTAGCACTATTTATGTAATTCTATCCTTGTTTTACATCTGATGAACGATGAAGATAGAATGGCGTAAATAGCGTTGATAGTGTCTCTCCAAACGCACCCCAAATGGAAAGCACTCGGCACTCCAAGAATCAAAGAAAAATGGAATTAGTAGGTATAGCAGCAATGAATTTTCTTTTCTTATTTTAAAGTTCTCCCTATTATCGACGTTTTCAACGAATGTGTTGCACCCGAGATGTGTAGATGACGTTGCAAATGTCACCGAGAAGCCACACAAAAAAAAATTTATGATAACTTAATTTTTATCTTATCTAGACGCGATATATTGCAAGAAATGATTGCGTTTTAAAATCGTATATTTACAATTTAATGAACAGACGCCTTTAATAATCCGATATTTTAAAACTGTGCATGTGCAACAAAAGTGCATTAAATGTACATTTCATATTCTAAGAATATGCTTAAAATATTAAATAATATTATGCATTATCTATAGGGTTATATCAAATGTATCGGGAAGCTAATAAAGATTTACTTGCAAAATCTGATTTGAATTCTATTTGGAAGTCCTTTGCAATAAAAATCGTATATTCCTCGTCACAGTTCAAGAATTTTTTTCATTTAATCCACAACTGTGTTTCTCACGCGTTAACACGCGAACGGTTTCCGTTACACATTAAACAGCTTTTTTTATAACTGTTTCTTAGTCTAGATAATTACGAGATAACTAGGATTAGTATCTTGAAACTCAAGTTGTTGACGGAATGTGTGAATTATTTCTGTTCAAGACAAACGGAAAAATAAATTGCGAGAAATCGTAAAAATAAAAAATACTTATATATAGATCAGCTTATATCTTTTGTTCTCTGTTTTTTTTTCCTTTGGTAGTTATTTATACAATATATCGTCAACGAAAAATCTTGCAAAGTATATACAAATACATTCCGTGAAACGAATGAAATTCGCGTAAAATAGACTATAGAATTAGAGGTTCTTCTCCAAAGCAAATTATTTTGATTCGGCTTCTTGTTTTTTTTCCGATGTGTACTTCCGATAAATATCAGAAGTAAAATTCTCATGTCGCATCACAGCACTTTGTATTCACGCGAATGATCTATGCGAGAGAAACTCAAGCGAACTAGTTATAATAATATCAAAATGACGCTTCCAAAATGATTACTAGACTGCGTTCAGAGAACTATGCTATTAATGTGTTATTATTATAATATTTTTCTACGTTTAATGAGAACACTGAAGATATAAGAATACTGAGACTGACACAATAACGCTGAAGATAGCAGATGATCTCCGAACGCAGCGTGAAAAAAATTATTTTTCAATGAGTCACACTTTATTCATTTTTATATTATCGTGCTTATTTTGCTTTTTAGTTATTTATTGATTCAATTAATCAGTCGATATCTTGTTTAATTATTTATTATCATTTTGATGTTAACTAATTGTTTACTGATCGGTTGGAGTAAGGTTGGAATAAAGTCCCAATAAGTAAAATATTAACGATGGTTATAGCATATTGCCAATAGAATCACGAATATAATAATAATAACTTTATTGAAACAAAAGATTATGAGATGTACATAAAAATAAATTGATAGAGAACAGCACAGAATAGTAGTAAAGATTTTGTTATAGGATAGGCTATTCTCGACAGACATTCTTTGTTTGTCTAATTTGTGATTGCAAATGTGATGCAATTCAGCATATAACGACGTGACTCAATGACGATTTCACAGATATTAATCTCGAGATTATGACTGCAAAAAACCTGTCTTGGAAACGATAAACGAGTCGCTGTATTGTGATTTCATAA